ATCCATCCTCCAATTTTTCTATTTGCTTTCTTATGAAAATGATTGTTCGAAATTCGAATTGACAACTTTAAGTGAAGACAAAAATTGCACAAACAAAACTATTTTTGTTTTCAAATTCAAAACTAAAATCATGGCATCTCGGCGCATTACACTAAATTTTACCAGCAAAACGACATAAAGTAACTCTTAATATAGTCAGAATTAATAATTTGAAACTATAAGTGGTTGTTTATAAATAAATATATATATATATAATTAATCTCAACTTAAAATTTAATTTTAACTCAACTTCACTATCATCAATATATCAGTATAATTAAATAATATTAAGTAATCATTTTTACATATCATATAAACTTTAATTCATTATTCAACAACTCGCTTAATTATAACTACATATCACTTCCAATCATTTATCTACTTCTTTTACTACTTTATTTTAAATATTATATTAATACAAACTTAAAATTCCACTAGAAACTAATTATACTAACTTATTTAAAATTAATCATAATTAACAAAAAAAATTATAAAATAAAACCAAACTAATACCAATATACTTGTAAACTAGCAAGCCCTAAAAATTACCTAATAAATTCACGTAACATTTTCTTATGTATATAGCTAGTTAATTAAATGATATTTGAATATATAAAAATGTAATTTCTAAATTTTGAAATTATATATTCAATAAATTCTGTAAATTCAATTTATAATTTTTAAAATTGTATACTCATCTCGATACAAAATATTTATGGTTTTGTTTTGTCAGATAACTTTTTTTCCACATAAACTATGATTGAATACAAATAATACAATGTTTTTATTTTTTACAAAGTTGACTCTTCATCTACTTCCACCTTTTCTCCTCAATTTTATCAATACAATTAAATAATAAAAATAAATTAGTGAAATACATTTTTTCTTTTATAGAATTCACTGTAGTTACTCTCATAATGTAACTATCTATCATTTATATTCTTTATTTACTAATTTTCTATCATATCAATTTTATTTGTTACATTTAATTATCACAGATCTATTCACAACACAAAACAAATAGTTTATTCTTCTAACCAAATAATTTTTCTGCTCTTTCAACTCATTTTTTCATTCAAACTATTTTTTAAAAATAACTAAATGTCNTTTTTTTTCCGGAACGATAGAAGTATTATAATAACTCAAAGGGAAAAATAGTTCAATACAATCGAGGCCAACGGCCGAATAGACTAACCAAAGCCGAAAAAGAAAACTGGGAGGACACGCATAAAGCGGCCTAGAATACAACAAAGAACTAAAACCCGAAGAGGGACAGCATAACCACTGCACTACATGCCTAGTCTGCCAACCAACTTCACTAAACTACTAACAGCTAACCAAAGAAACCAAAGAAAAACTGAGCAAAGGAAAGAAAAAACACTCAAAAGCAAGGAACAATTACACAGCCTTGAACTCCTGCCAAATATATATGTATAAACTTAATTTTTAAAGTTTGAATATTGAAGAAAGTGATCGAAATTTTGGACTACGTGAGATGAATAAATACATGATGAAGACGACAAAGGTGGCCCAAAATCTGTGAGGATATATATCTCATCGCCATAAGTCAAATATATACTGAGTTGAAAAAGTTGGAAAACCAAAATTTAAAATAAAGAATTAGTTATGGCCTCAGCCTGATAACGAAAAAGTGGATCACAGATAGACATACTATATATGAATTGGGATTGTCCAATGATAATAATTCTAAATTATACTCTGTTTGATAGCTTTTGGTGGTATTTTGAGAAATAGTTCTGTGGTCATTGTTTATATTTTTTTTTTCAATATATATTCAATTCATAATTAAAATTTGAATCAATTTGACTCAATTTCACTATATAATGAAAGAATATCAATCAATCATTCTTTATACAACATTAACTTTAATACATTGTTCATCCACTCACATAATTTTAATTAACCACATCATCTCTCATACTTTTACATCAATCAGTTTTAATTATTTTATTTCAAATATTATTTTAATAGAAACTCAAACTACCCTCAACAACTAATCATACCACCTTTTTAAAATTATTAACTCTGATTAATAAAAAAAATCATTTTGAGCGGATATATTTGTATCCAATCACTCTTAGCAAATTGAAATGTGCATTTAAATTTACATTAAGCGAAAATTTTTAGTTGGTACCAACCATCACTATTTTTATTTTTGGTACCCCATATTTCCACGTAATTAATTTTAGTATCTCACGTTTCGTCCCTTAATCAGTTTCGATCTAAATTGTATTTTTTTTTTGTCAAAAACTAACCGATGTAGTATTGAGAATAGCTCGACAGACCGACTTGAGCAGTCAGCTCGGGTAGGCTGGCCCAGGAGAGCTCTAGGCTGTCCAGAAGTAAGCAACTCAGTCAAGGAGAGCTCAAGATACTAGTCGACTTGTAGAATACAACCTGGAGAAATCGACCTCTAGGAGCTCGAACAAGAAAGCCGACCTGAAGATATTGAGGTCATAAGACCTAAGGTCAGGTTCGACCTCAGAGGTGGTCGGGTTCGACCTCGGCTAAGTCGCAACAAGCAGGACAAGAGGTCATGGTTATGGCTGATGACCTAAGGGTTGCACAGTAAAAGGGAAGAAATCCTAATAAGATGGAAAGTACCACTTGCTAAGGAGACTTGCCAAGATAGGGACCTGGTAAGTTAGAACATGTTATCTTGTAGGATCTAATTCCTAACAAGGACTCTATTGGGCATCAATATATCTACCCTATATAAGTGTGCCAAGTTCTACTTCAATGAGATATTGCATCATATGCCATAAGTCTTATTTTTTCCCGAATATTCACGTTGAGCACGTTTTGACTTGAGCGTCGAAGCTTTTCCGTCGGGACCCTCTCATGGTGTATTGTAGGTCACCGGAGCTCAAAGTAGAAGAAAGTTCATGGCATAGGCGGTTCAACCTAGTTTGAGATTGAAGTGACACAACAAATTGGCGCTCTCTGTGGGATAACTCTAGTCTTTTACCGGCTATAAGGGACTAGCGATTTTTCTCATTGCAAAATTCAAAATCATGCCAAGTGATAATCCCAAGAAAAACCTTAAGAAGGATATGGAGGCCGCCTGGACAAAGAGGGCGTTTGGATCCTCAAGCACTCTCGTCACGTTGGAGGAGACATTGCCTGCACCTCAGGCAGTGTTGACTCCATCGACGGACTTATCGGAAGGATCCACCGGTGGGGGAGGAGTACCTATTGGTCAGTAGAAGAGAAAATGCCAAGGGAAAAAGGTTCGTGTAGTGGATCAAGGTGAAGAACAAAAGAAAGATGATACAGTGGTCAATCAATTCCAGAGGAGCAAGTCGAAGTTGTCCAGCTTAATGACGAAAGGCCTAATAAAAATATAATTCATTAATAAACCATAAAATAATCATTGTATTTTTTTTTTCACAAATTTTGGAAAAAAAAAAATGAAAGTTAAGTATTACATAATTTTTTTTAAGAAATATTATAAAATATTATTTCTCAATTTAAATAGATTGTAAAATTCTGAAAGTTATTATGCTATTTAAAATAGTAAATATTAAAGAATATTATATTTAAATATTACAAATTAATTTTGTATTTTATAATGCTAGAAAATAGTACATTGCTACGTAAATTCTAAATTATAAATTTTATGAATTTAAAATACTTGAAAAATTAATAGACGTGAGACATGGACTCTATAAATATAAAATATAATCACAATACAATAAACCTTGTTTTGTTTAAAAAAAAAACAAATCAAATATATGGAGTTGTAAATACTATCAGTTTTATACATATCTAATTTTAAAAATATATAATTAAATTTTTATTTTTTTTTACAAATTCAGTGTAGAAGTACGGGCAGGAGGGAAACCAGAAAATTAGTTGAGAGGGGGCAAAAGACATGACATAATTTTTAAGGATAACAAAAATGCATAAAACAATTTAACTTATAGTTACAATTGTTGGCCTTGTGAGTAGAGCTGTAAACGAACCGAGCGTTCGCGAACAAAAGCTCGTTCAAGCTCGTTTGTGTTCGACAAAAGCACATTCCTTTGTTAATCGAGCCGATTTTGAACAGAAAATTAGACTCGTTTAATAATCGAACGAACACGAGCTCGTTCGTGAACGTTAGATTATGTCCGCAAACATTAATTTAATATAAGTTTATTTTATTTTATATATTTACATAATATTTTTAATAAAAAAACTTAAAATTTAATACAATTCTATTTATTTTTTATATATCTACGTAATATTTTTAATAAAAAATCTAAAATATATTAATATTTTTATTTTATTCTTTTATTTTCGAGTTCGAACGAACAAATTTCGAGTTAATCAAACATATTTAAAAAGTTTGTGTATTATATTATTCGAACACGAACGAACTCGAACCTTGACGAACAATTAAACGAACGAACTCGAAGACGATTTTTTGCTCAAAAAATAAATGAACGAACACGAACACTGTTCGAACGTAAATGAACACGAGCTCGAACAGCCCAAGCTCGGTTCGATTTGGTTCGGTTACAACACTATTTGTGAGTGACGTTTAAAAAAAATCTGGGGGTGCAACAAATTATTTAAGAGAGGGGCAAATTAAATTTTTTAATTATAATAGTAAAAAAATTTAAAATTTGAGAGGGGGGCAATTGTCCCCCTATGGATAAATGCACATTCGCCCTTGAGTACGGGCACCATTTGAATTAATTATCATTTTGTTAGTTATTTATTATTGTTGCATATTCACCATACATAATTTTACAATAAAAATATAATTATTTTAATTTTTATTGTACGAATATTAATGTATTTAAGTATATTTAAGTAACCGTGTAGTACACGAGTATTGTATTAGTTTATATTAATGATACTATAATTATTGCACCACTTCTAATTTGTTGCAAAATTTAGTTTGTGATGCAGCCAATTCTAGTAGTGAAATTCCATATTAGGATTGTATAGATTGCAATGTCAGCCACAGTTCATGGTACATTTATTGACAGTTCGACTCCCTTTTTTATATTTACTAGTATTAATCTTGTGCACATGCACAAGTTACCAAAAATAAATAAATATTATACATAAGAACCTTAATTAAAATAAAAATTTTATATAATAGTATATATCACATTTATAATTAAATTGTTATATTAATGACTCTTAGTTAGATTTTTATTCTTTAATGAAAAAGAACAATAAATAATTTTTTGGTCATAATTAACCTCTCCAAAAAAGAGCGTAAAACGAAAAAATTTAGCATTAATGTGTATATATATATATGTAATAAAATTACTGCTTACTAAAAATAGTAAGTAAAAAAATCTAACAATATTAATTTCATGCCAATTTTAGAATTTTTTTGATTTTTTTTAAACATCAAACTAGTACGTAAATCGTGCGATGCACGGGATGTAAAATGTGGAAGAATAATATAATCTCACGTGCATTAGGATCGAAATTGAAATCATTAAAGTACATAGGAACATTGTTAAATCATAAAAAGTTCGATAACAATCATAAACTATTAAAAACCTCCTTGTACACAACATTATGAGTTTGATTATTTGGTAACTCTTCATTATCACAAACTAATATTTTCAACCCCTTCTATTATTTACACGCGAAGCAACAACATATAATTGGCCGTGACAAAAACGGGTTTATTCAGGAAAAGACCAACGTGCGATAAAAAAAAAAAGTTTTTAAAAAAAGAGTTTTTAAAAATTGAAAAGTCAAGTCAATCAGTTCAGATTAATTAAAGGTCAAAGAATATCCGCTCCTTGAAATAAAGACGTGTGCTATCATTAGCCAAATATCCGGTTATTGATATAGAGAGGTTACAAAAAAATAGAACGCGATAAGGACGCTTCATGGAAATATCAATAGGATAATGTCATAACAGATCGCTATACATTTTAACGATAAAAGCTCATATGGAATGTTTTAATTAGATGTGTGAAAGGGACATAATTAATGAGAAGTGTGAAAAGGATAAAAAACTTACCGATTTTGAAAAATATTTAATGCAAATTCGACATTGACCATATATTGATCTACTATTTTGGATAAATGTTACTACCTCCTATTCTTTTTAAATGTCATTTTGGCTTTATTAACTATTAACAAAATAAATGTCGTTTTAGATCTTTTGTACATATTTTTCCATTATTATCCTCATTTAGCTAATAAATACACCACATCTTTTCATATTATTTATTCATTTTTTTCCCAAAACATCATTCTCTATCTTCATTAAAGAGGGTTATTATTGGCAAAAAAAAAATATTCTTAATTACTGTGCAACTTCTTAAAACGACACTTATTATGAATAGGAGGGAGTAATACTTATCATATAAGTATAGATTAGCAAGCATTAAATGCAGCCTAAAATTGTGGTTTTGGAAAACAAAAAACGTAATAATAGCTTCACAAATCTCACGCCTGCTTCCAAAGTTGTAGCATTGTGTTTTTTTTTTCTTTTTTTTTTATGTTTGTATACATCGGTAATTGTGAGAAATTAGGATGCGTATATAATTAATGTATAGTCGAGTATACTGCCCATTGTTTCAAGAAATAAAAATGCATAAAACTTACAAGTATAATTTTATAATTCAATTGTTTTTCAATATAATACATAATTTACAGCTAGTAACTTTTATTATTTTTTTATTTTTTTCTTTAAAAAATCATACAATATTAAATACTACCTTAAATTTTGAGATTTAGACTATTTTATTATTTAAAAAATCTGGCTAAGATCTATTAAATGTGCACATTTTTTCTTTTATTTTTTTTTCGTAAAAACAACGAACAACATTAAAATCTCGGTCTCTATATTTAAAAAATCTCAATTCAAAAATGTAACAAAAGTTTTAGAATCTCTTTAAATTCTATAATCTATCAATTAATCTAATTTTAATAATTAATTCAAAATTAAATATAATTTATAATCTTAATATACTATCAGTTGGTTTAAAAATTTATTATATAAATCATAAAATATTTTTATTTTATAAAATTAAATATATTTAAATAAAATAAAAAATTTCTGTGGATCAATCGGGTGATTGAATTATGATACTGTCTAAGTTGATTGAATTACTTTTAGGTGATATTTAAAATAGTAAACAAACTTGACACAACTTACATGGTCCCAATGTGACTAAGTTATGTATCAGTTTGTCCATACCAAATCGATAATTGAACCTAAATATAAATTTTAATACTAAAAATACTTTATTACGTGAATGTGATGTAGTTCAATTGTCCAAACTTCAAATAATCATATTAACAATAATTTTATGATAACATGTTTAATGATTAATATGTATACAATCAAGTTATTCTATTAAATCATTTTTGATTTGTTCAGATTCTAATTTATAAACATTTTAATATATATAGAGTACTTTTTGTAATAAGTTTAAATAAAATGTGTTACTTGAATATCTAAACAACTTATAAATTCAAATGTTTAAACTAATTGATAAACAATTCATAAATCTTTATTATTTGAATATGTACTTTTATTTAAAATAATTTTAAATGTTACAAAATTTATTTAGAAAATCGTATCGATTCTACCAGTCCAACCGATTGGTGTTGAAGAAATTCGATAGCAAATATTTTATTCAAGCGAACTAGACTGCTTATAAAGCGGTTCTCGGTTCATCCAGTGAGACTGTGTCCAACACGATTCAATTTAAAAACAATGGGTGAATCATGATTAATGTTATTTATATATTTAATTTATGATATAATCATAATATTATTTTCCCGTGCGTTGCACGGGCTACGTACTGGTAACCCAAAATTATATATATAGATTCTTTCACGAGATATATATTTCCGAGAGCATTGAATATATATTTCTTCAATTTAACACTGGTAATAATAAAAATACTTACATATGTTTTTTGGCCGTAACACCCGTTTTAAGTGTAGACAAATCGTTCACGAGACCTTGCACAAGAAAAAAATTTCAGATAGTGACAGTGAAGTTCATATTCAAATTTTTTGAAGCACCCCTCTCTCCCTCTCTGTCTCTCTTTAAATCCCATTTCTGATCCTTCCAACTCCCAATAAACAAGAAAAATAAAAAGATGGAAAACCATAAAAATTTGCTGCTCAAACTCTCCAAGCTTTTTCCTTCTTCCCTAATCTCTTGCCACTCTGACACTTTACCCGACGTTGCACACAGCCCCTCTCTCATTCCAATAATCAAGAAAGCTCCCCACCCCTCTCCTCATCCTCAATCGCAAAAGGACCCCAACATTGTCAAAAATTGCTCCGAGGCCCCCAACAAACATTTGAGACGCACGCGCCACTGTTCCGACGTGGAAGGACGAAAATACCCCCAAAGGACCCTCAACAAATCCCTCAGGAACCAGAGCTCGTCCTCCCACAGCGGCCGGTGGTTCACCAGCGGCGACGAGACCTCCTCCTCGTCCGGGATGGAATCCGATCTGGCGGCGACCAGGCTTTACTACGAGAGCGGGCGGCGCCGGAGGAATTGCCGGAGGAATCGCCGGAGGTGCTCGTCGGGTATTGCGGTGGAGAAGAGGTCGAGCGACCCTTACCGAGATTTCATGGCGTCGATGGTGGAGATGATAATCGATCGGCAGATGTTTAGGGCCGAGGAATTGGACACCCTCTTGTTTTGCTTCTTGTCTTTGAACAGTTCCGATTATCACGGGATTATACTAGAGGTTTTCTCTGAGATTTGTCAAACCTTGTTTAGTGATTGATTTTTATTNAAAAAAATACTAAATTTACTATATTTAAAAATATTTTAAATATAAATGAAAAAATACTTATTTAAAAATATGGATATATAAGTTAGTTTAAGTGTTTGATGTTTTAAATTGACTACAGATTTAACAACAAAGATTTTATAAACTTTTATTAAATAAATTTCAAATTATTAATAAATTAAATATCGTTCTAACCAGTTCAATCATCAATAGGACCAATTTGTACCGAAAAAAAATAAAAATTAATAAGACCAATAAATCATTGAACCAGCAACTTAATTGGTTCGATAACCGATTTGATTTTGAGAACCTCTGGCTTAATTTGATTAATACTTGCTTGGTTGTTTCTGGGCTCTTTTAAGTGAGTCCCTTCCTTGTGATTTAATTTTTTTCCAATGGACTTTTTTCAAGTGTTTATTAAGGTAAAGTTTTAGTGGAATTCCATATTAATGACCATTTTACTTATACAATAGTCGGGTAAAGTTTTAGTGGAACTCCGTCTTAATGACCATTTTAGTTAAAAAATAGTCATGTCTGTAAACCAGTTCCAACTTCCAACAATGGCCGGTTGGCCTCTTGAACCGGGGTAGGCAAAAGTACTATTCCAACAAATTAAATGCATATTTTATATTTAAATATAAATTAAAAATACGATATAAATATAAATATAAATATTTATGAATATCAATTTTTTAAGTAAATATAGTTGTCTATCCAACCTAATTAATTGACAGTTATCTTAGATTATTCCAATGTTAACTTTAGTTGAGCAGGAACGAGATTCAATCGAGTTCAACGGCACATCTAATCTATGTACGTAGACTAATATTTTATATAATATTTTTATATATTGTTGACAAACTTTGCTGAAGTTTGAATTATTGAAAATTTTGAAAAATCGATCTCAGAAGGAGCTGTACTAAAGGTATTTCTTTTTGGGGGTTGGATGAGTTTTTTGGTTAATTATAGTTAATTTTGAAAAAAAATTGATTGAGTTATGTTTGATTGAAATTTTAATTTTATATTAAAATAATATTTAAAATAAAGCGATCAAAGATTTAATGTAAATGTAGAAGAAATGTAATGGAAAGTGATGGGTAGATAAAATTACGTGAGTGGATGAATAGTGAATTAAATTTGATATGATGTGAAAAGATGATTGATTAATATTATTAAATTATATTAATAATATTGAGAACAGTGAGGTGAATTAAATTTCAATTGAAATTGAAATTATTTTAGAAATTTATAAAAAAGCATGCCCAAAATAAACTTGAATTGACACTTAACAATATATAAATAACTTAACAAATGCTCTCTCCTCTCGATACCTTAATTCACAAATCTCTATCTGCGCTTTTTTTTTCTCTTTCTCCTCCATTTTGCCTTCCTCGGCAGCAGCTGGGCTTCGGCCAGAGCGCCACCCGTGTTGTTGCGATGGTGGATGGTGGCGGGTCCTTGGCTCCGATTTTTGCCCTTCTACTAGGTGCGGTTTTGTGGGCTCAGTGTTAGATATGCTGTAAAAGCTTGGCTTTCAGATTCTAGCAATTTCATTTTGATCGGGCAATCATGTTTTAGTCAAAGTATTTATGTTTGCAGTTTATTTATGTATGCAATCATAACTCCTTTATTTTACATTGTAAATAGTATGGTTCGTCGTGTCGAACAGAAAGATCATACTATCGGTTCCTTGCAAAATATAAACTAATTGTTCACGGTTTAGAGAGGCAGTAAGACCCCTGTTGAACAATACTGTAGTGTAAGTCTTGATTCGGTTCATCTTTGACTGATGGTTTACACTAGTACTTATGATAAGTAATGAACAGGACCGCGGAAGGATAAGATTATAAGATTTACTGATCGCAGTTATAATCTAGACCTTCAGTAATTGATGCGTACTCTTAAGCTGTAAGATAATATAAAACGGGCATATATATTCATTACTTGTTTATTTGATTTAGCAAGGGTGATTCCTATTCTGCTAGGATGACATACTCGGTATTTTGGTAAATGAGGGTGTTTATATGATGTGCTGTTATAAATTATTTACGGTCACTATGTCCCGGTATGCCGGGTTGATGACGTCCCCGAAATGAGCTCAGGAATGAATATTATGTCAAGCCCTGCAGACGGATGTGTATCCAACATAATCATTAGGGATCTGAGTGGTACTAGTTTCGGAAATGGATTAGAAGTTGATTAATTATGTTGTTAGTAATTTAATTAATCAACGAACGTTATATCTTAAACATACGGAGATAAATCGATCAATTTGATTAATATTTATTAATCAAACGGAGGTTCGAATTTAGTGAATAAATTGAAACTAAATGGGGAGAGCAATAATATTACTCTACTCGAATGTTTTATTATTTAATTCTATTTAGGAATTAGGAATTATTTATATTCCATAATTTAGATTCTATTAGGAGAGAATATTCCTCCTAGATTAATCACCCTAGGATAAGGAAACTATGGAGTCTTGTAGAAAAATGATTGAGGTTAGGAGCAATAAGACTTCTAGATGGAAAATGATATGGAGCATGATTAGGATTCTTAAACCTAATGGGATAAGCTCATATTTAGCACCTCCTTAAGGTCCCTAATGTAGCCTATAAATACACCATGTTTCAACCTCTTCCCTACGCGTGTAACTCGATTTTAAGGTATTTCCAAAGAGAGGAAAATCGATAAAATACAAATATTGAGAGTTCGGGAGTTTCGATTAATCGCCCACCAAGATTATTCGAAGTAGGTGTAAAGGTTATATATTAAAAGGCTTTAAGGTACGACATAATCGAGCCTTTAATATCCATGTGATTTTTCCAGCGACTAGCCACCGTCCACAGCCGCCGGAGCCGCCGCCCACTGCTGCTGCAAGCCGCCGTAAAAGTTTGCCCGCAGTCGCGCACCGATCGCCCCTGGTCGTGCCCAGGCGTGTCCCAGACCGCACAGCTCATGCAAAGCCGTACCGCAGCCCCTAGAGCCCGGCATACCTCACCCAGCAACGTGCGTCTGCGCTCCAGCCCGCTACCGCGCTCAGACAGCGTCCAGGAGCTCCGCGCGGAGATCTCACGCGCTACCGTGCGCAAGCAGTCGACGCCTAGCCCTAGCCGCGCATGCCTAGTCCTAGTCTACCTAAGAGACGTACAGCGCACACCCGCGTCCCAATCCGTACAGGAGTAGAAGTGTCGCTTTACACGAGCCCGAAGTTCTTGGCACCTCCCGCGAGCACCCGCCTGCGTATCCCAGCGTGCCAGTCAATTGCACGCGCCCAATGCAGCGACGCCGTTCGCCAGCCAGCATGCCCAACAGCTCGCGTTCGCGCCAGACTCGAGCAAGCGCGCCACCACTCGGACCCAGCGACCAGCCTCGGCCCGAGCTCAGTCCAGCCCAAATCAGACTCGACCCGGTTCAGACCGGCCTAGACCGGTTTAGCCTGGTTCAACTTGATCAAGAAGTCCCGGTTCGTGTCCGAGACGATTCCCAAGCAGTCCGACTAACTTATTGGAGGTTCGAGATGATCTTCTCATGATTCAACGCTCGATCAGAATCAAGAAAGGCCAAGTCCGGCAGCCCATCGGACTCTGTTGTTCACACGATCTCCATCAACGGAAATCAGAAACGTCACAGAGTGGGCAAAAATTTTAAACCGTAAGTCCTAATCCTAACTATGGATTCCGCTGCGTTAAAATTTATTATTCAATAGATTTGAATGTGAACATTGTCGACGATCCTAATAGAACCCAATAACTGGTATCAGAGGCCGAGGCTAATTCGCCTTTGTGCACTATTCGAATTAGGACTTGCGTGATATATGTGAATTAATTGTGTACGGGCGCAACGCATAATAGATTAGAATTTCAAATAAGTGTTGTTTGCAGGTATTCTTGAATCCGACTATTATGGCCCGTATGTATGTGTGTTTTTAATTTTTGTATGTCGTTTTAAAAGCCTCGGACATGTTGAGGATTTTTTGGGTTGGTGAATGTTTGTAATAATTTATTCGCGCGCTGGGACACTGCATAGTTTAAATGCTTTACTAGACCATTCATGTACGACCCCTGCGTGGGCCATAGGATCAATGCATGTAATTTATATTATGTAATTGTTCGTTGAACTCGGTAAACGCGGACATCTCTCGACAAGACGAGGCGGGCTACCCCGCGAACCCGCAGTTGACGGGACACGTGTTATTGTGCAAATGTAGACATGCTCGTAGGCAGCTTGCTGCCAGGTGCGAGCAGTGTCAAGGCATGAACGACAGATACACACGGACCTAGGTTGACAGAAGTGCGGGAGACGGCGGCAGTAGACACATGCCAATGGAGGAGACCGGATGGCGACTTGTTCAAAACAAAAAGTGGGAGTAACGGCGAAAAAGGAAATTCCAAGTCCCAAAAAGGAAGATGTAGTTCGACAAAAGGACAGGGATTGCGTTTCTCCGAAAGATTGGAGATTAATTAGGAGCATGTTTAGGAAAATCCCTTAATTTAATATATTAAATGTGAATGGATTGAAATAAATTGTATCCACGGCCTCCACTATAGGTTTGTCAGTGAAGTGATTTAATCGAGTCCAAAGGACGTTTTATTTCACAGTTCACAAGGACAAATCTCCTTTAGGATGGTAGTAGCGAGCTATTTCAAAAGCGTACGGACCACCAAAGGTGGACGTATAATTTTGGTAGTAAACTTGGCATCAATTGTTGGGTTACACTTAAAGTGCAAATAATTATGATACTCCCAAAGGAAAAGGTCGTTCTTATTTTCCGCTGCCCTAAAGGTGGACCGACTATTAATTAAGTGTTGTTGGGGCAGTATGTTAGTTAATGGGATTAATCCCTCCTCTTGCGACGGTATGAACCGTAGACGTCAATACTCCGTGACCTTCGGGGATTCGGTGTTTTGAGGTGTCAGTGAATTTATTTAAATATTTTTTTGAAGGGATCAATTTTGCGGCTGGGCACGCTGGCTGGCGAACGGCGTCGCTGCACAGGGCGCGTGCAACTGACTTGCACGCTGGGACACGCAGGCGGGTGCGCGCGGGTGGTGCCAAGAACTTCGGGCGCGTGTACGAGCGGCACTCCTACTCCTGTGCGAACTGGTACGCAAGCGGATGACGCGGGCGTGCATGGCACGTCTCCTAGGCAGACTAGGACTAGGCATGTGCAGCTAGGGCTGGGCGTCGACCGTCTGCGCATGGTAGCGCATGATATCTCCGTGCGGCGGAGCTCGCACGTTGCTGGGCGAGGTCTGCCGGGATCTTGGGGCTACGGCACGGCTTTGCACGAGCTGTGCGGTCTGGGACACGGCTGGGCGTGGCCAGGGGAACGGCTGAGGGCAAACTCCGGCGGCGGCTTGCGGTGGCGGTGGGCGGCGGCTCCGGCGGCTGTGGACGGTGGCTAGTCACCGGAAAAACCACATGTTTTACCTTAAAGCCTTTTAATGTATGACCTTTACACCTACTTCGAATAATCTTGGTATCGATTGATCAAACTCCCGAACTCTCAATATTTGTACTTTTTTGATTGTCCTCTCTTTTGGAAGACCTTAAAATCAAGTCACACGCGTAGGGAAGAGGTTGGGACATGGTGTAGTTATAGGCTACATTATGGACCTTAAAGAGGTGCTAAATATGGGCTTATCCCATTAGGTTTAGGAATCCTAATCATGCTCCATATCCTTTTCCATCTAGAAGTCTTATTCCTCCTAACCTCAATCACCCTTCTAGAAGACTCCATAGTCTGCTAACCCTAGGGTAATTAATCTAGAAGGAATATTCCTCTGCTAATAGATCTAAATTATAGAATATAATTAATTCCTAAATCCTAATAGAATTAAATAATAAAGCATTGCACTAGAGTAATATAATTGTTCTCTCCATTTAGCTTCAATTTACTCAATAAATTCGAACCTCCGTTTGATTAATAAATATTAATCTAATTGATTGGTTTATCTCCCTATATTTAAGATATAACGTCCGTTGGTTAATTAAATTACTGACAATATAATTAACCATTATGTCAGATACATATCCGCCTACAGGACTTGACATAATATTCCTTCCTAAGCTCATTTCGGGGACGTCATCAACCCGGCATACTGGGACATAGTGACCGTATATAATTTATAACAGCACATCAATATAAACACCCTCATTTACCAAAATACCGAGTATGTCATCCTAGAATAATAGAAATCACCCTTGGTAAATCAAATAAACAAGAAATGAATATATATGCTCGTTTTATATTATCTTACAGCTTAAGAGTACGCATCAATTACTGAAGGTCTAGATTATAAATACGATCAATAAATCTTATAATCTTATTTTTCCACGGTCAGGTTCAATACTTATCATAAGTACTAGTGTAAACCATCAGTCAAAGATCAACCGAATCAAGACTTACACTACAGTCTTTTCCAACAGGGGTCTCACTGTCTGTCTAAACCGTGAACAATTAGTTTATATTTTACAAGGAACCAATAGTATGATATTCGACACGACGAACCATACTATCTACAATGTAAAATAAATGAGTTATGATTGCATAAATAAATAAACTAGAAACATAAATATTTTGACTAAAGCATGATTGCTCGATCAAAATATGATTGCTAGAATCTGAAAGCCAAGCTTTTACAGCATATCTAACACTAGGGTGTGTTCACCCTGTCTCAACAATGCTCCAGGTTCCTTTGCCAAGAGACCGGAGGAATATCACCATCATTAACTTCAAATATGGATAGTTCGTGCCATCCAAGTAAGGGATCGAGTGACTGAGCCATATTCGAGGTTTATTTTCCCAGTTCTTCAGTCCACTGCCTTTAACCTGTGATTAAGACAGGTACCAACTCTGGTGCCAATTGAAGGAGTAGCGCAAGAGAGCAAATTTTATGTGACAACACAAAAAATATAAATAAATAAATAAATAAATAAATAAAACTTTCTTTAATAAGCTTTCTTCTTCCCTCAGAACTCTTTCACTAGTAAGAAGTTGTCGCGCATAGCGTAGTACTGAGTTCTGAGAACTCCCTTCTAATTCTACTGCCTCTACACTGCACTTTTCTATCTACTTTTTTTGCCAATGTCAACTTAAAAACCTATAGTTGATCCTTCCGTAGGCTCACGAACACTTCTCCCAAGTGTTGTAGATAAAGGATGAAATGAAGGATAAATAACTTTTAGACTGTAAGACTACAAACTGAAAGTTCGACTAAAACTGTAAAATACAATAAAATGTGAGCTCTCAAAACTCTCAAAATGTCTCTCTCTCTTCCTCTGCTAACCCTAGGGTAATTAATCTAGAAGGAATATTCCTCTGCTAATAGATTTAAATTATAGAATATAATTAATTCCTAATTCCTAATAGAATTAAATAATAAAGCATTGCACTAGAGTAATATAATTGTTCTCCCCATTTAGCTTCAATTTACTCAATAAATTCGAACCTCCGTTTGATTAATAAATATTAATCTAATTGATTGGTTTATCTCCCTATGTTTAAGATATAACGTCCGTTGGTCAATTAAATTACTGACAATATAATTAACCATTATGTCGGATACATATCCGCCTACAGGACTTGACATAATATTCCTTCCTAAGCTCATTTCGGGGACGTCATCAACCCGGCATACTGGGACATAGTGACCGTATATAATTTATAACAGCACATCAATATAAACACCCTCATTTACCAAAATACCGAGTATGTCATCCTAGAATAATAGAAATCACCCTTGGTAAATCAAATAAACAAGAAATGAATATATATGCTCGTTTTATATTATCTTACAGCTTAAGAGTACGCATCAATTACTGAAGGTCTAGATTATAAATACGATCAATAAATCTTATAATCTTATTTTTCCGCGGTCAGGTTCAATACTTATCATAAGTACTAGTGTAAACCATCAGTCAAAGATCAACCGAATCAAGACTTACACTACAGTCTTTTCCAACAGGGGTCTCACTGTCTGTCTAAACCGTGAACAATTAGTTTATATTTTACAAGGAACCAATAGTATGATATTCGACACGGCGAACCATACTATCTACAATGTAAAATAAATGAGTTATGATTGCATAAATAAATAAACTACAAACATAAATATTTTGACTAAAGCATGATTGCTCGATCAAAATATGATTGCTAGAATCTGAAAGCCAAGCTTTTACAGCATATCTAACACTAGGGTGTGTTCACCCTGTCTCAACAATGCTCCAGGTTCCTTTGCCAAGAGACCGGAGGAATATCACCATCATTAACTTCAAATATGGATAGTTCGTGCCATCCAAGTAAGGGATCGAGTGACTGAGCCATATTCGAGGTTTATTTTCCCAGTTCTTCAGTCCACTGCCTTTAACCTGTGATTAAGACAGGTACCAACTCTGGTGCCAATTGAAGGAGTAGCGCAAGAGAGCAAATTTTATGTGCCAACACAAAAAATATAAAATAAAAAAAAAAAAAAACTTTCTTTAATAAGCTTTCTTCTTCCCTCAGAACTCTTTCACTAGTAAGAAGTTGTCGCGCATAGCGTAGTACTGAGTTCTGAGAACTCCCTTCTAATTCTACTGCCCCTACACTGCACTTTTCTATCTACTTTTTTTGCCAATGTCAACTTAAAAACCTATAGTTGATCCTTCCGCAGGCTCACGAACACTTCTCCCAAGTGTTGTAGATAAAGGATGAAATGAAGGATAAATAACTTTTAGACTGTAAGACTACAAACTGAAAGTTCGACTAAAACTGTAAAATACAATAAAATGTGAGCTCTCAAAACTCTCAAAATGTCTCTCTCTCTTTGAAGACTCCTGAATTTATGTGTCATTCTTTGGTAGTAGCTTTTCAGAATATTCATTGTTGTTAAGTTTTCTTTATTGTTGAGCTTTCAAAATATCCTGAATCGATTTTAATTTAGAAGGTCTGAAGTCATATAATTAGAACACGTACGACATTCCTTAATTGCGAGATTCGGCAGATCTTGTCCAGTTATTCCATACTCGCGATATTCTCTTTCCATCTGTGTCAATGTCGCGTCCAAGTCACCAAGTCGCGTCTAGATCCCTACCAAGCGTATTCCTCTACTAAATAAGGAAAAAATCTGGATTAAACTAATCTGAATCAATATTCAACAATTAAAACATAAAGAAACTTAATAAATAATTTGATCTTCTCTTTATTTTGCTTTGCTTCATTTCCAAGTGACTTACAAGAAATAACCTTAAATAAACAAGAAAGTTATTTGAATTATCTCAATTCAAAATTCTGACATATCATATGTAAAATTAACTTTTCATTTATAAACATTTATACACAAGCTTTGCAGATAAATATATCCAAATTGCCCATAATGTCTCGAATAATACATCATGTTAAGCATAGATCAAACTTCCAAAAGTTCCATCTGCTTGTGCATAAATTACCGAATATGTCAACTAAAAAAACACTAATGGTTAAATAAAAACTCCCAAATCCATGCGACTAAAAAATGCGTCTTCATGCAACCACAAACCACCAAAAAATGCAATTACGTTCCATCACCACATAATTTTATTTTTTAATCTATATTAAGTTTACAGTGGCAAAAAGGGCCGGAAATATTGATCAAGACGGCAGTGAACTCAACAAATCCTATCAACGCTCAACTTCCATCTAAAGAGGCACCCCAATAAATTTTTGGTAGTTGTTTGTTTGAAAGTTGGTCTATGTAAGTCCATTGTTGGTGTCAGTTGTGATTTTCGGCTTAAATTCTTTCAGCTTTCGCATCACATTCACATCACCAATAACTATTGCCGTATATTTCTTTCCTTCAATAAATTTCAGGCCCCATCCCACTTAGTACTAACTGTACAAGAAACTTAATTTTTTATTATTTTACCTGACATTTTATTTGAAAAATGTTACATTGTCAATCTAATGTACAACTAGGATGACAACACAAGTAGAAATATCCACATAAAAATACACAAATGTATGTTTCTACTTGTACACTGGCTTGTAAGGAATATAATCAAAAATACTGAATTGATTGAGAAGTTGTACAGACTTTTTGAAGGGTTTGATGGACTAAATTATCAATTTTCAATTGATGTAAATTTATTTATTTGATTTTAAATATTTTAAGTATTTAAATAAAAGAATTATAAAAAAATTGTAAAGTATACAGATGAATTTCCAAATAATGTCCGGAAAAAAAAAAGAATTTCCAAATAAAGTTATTAATCTCTAATTTACCAAACACATTTTGTAACTGTTGAACTTGGCCGCTATCAAAACAACATAATCAACTGATCAAAATACTAATGCAATCCTTGCGATAACCACTATTTTTTCTCTATTATTGAATAATAGTAATATAAATAAATGAGCCACGTATAGTTGCACTTAAATGGATTTTATTACCTGTATTTTGGAGGAAAATGTAGTTGGACAAGTGGAGTCATAAATGTAGGTGATGTGTTCATTCCGGACACGCATCAACATCCACTTATATATTAGCTGCTTCTCATCTCTTTTTTTTTTCGTGTAAAACCAAGAGAGAAAAAAAAAATGGAGTCCACGATTCGGCACATTTTGGCACTCTTTTCAGTGAGTAACAATTAATCATTTATTAGTTATTACCACACCAACCAAGCAAAAGGAGAATAAGAAAATGAATTAAATTGAATCTTGTTTATTTATTGTTTCTCAGGTGGCATGTGTACTAGTCGGAAGCCATGCAGAGTTGCCTTCAGAAGACTACTGGAAATCAGTGCTCGCAAACTCTCCAATGCCCAGAGCTGTAAAAGATCTCTTAACACCTGGTAATAGATATACTTATTAGCAAATTTTATTGCTATATAGTCTTAATTTTCTTTAAAAAAAAATAAAAATAGAAACACTTGATGCTATTCAACTCCATCTTACTGAGCTCTAATCTTTCTTCACCCGTGCCATGACTTCATAATCTTGCTCAGTACAATATTATGACCTTACAAATATTAAACTTCTTCATGGTCATGAACTTCTGACACAGTTCGAACATTGCGTAATGAATGAAATGAAATATCTCAGTATATACCAATATTCAATAGAGATTTGTATATCAATAGTGTGTACTTTTCACATATTAATGTGGCTTTTCACCTTAAATATTAGTATTTCCTTTATTCAGATTTTTCAACTTTTTGTTTAATCCACGTACGTACAAAAAGTATATTTCCAACACTCAGATCCATAACAAACTCTTATT